ATAGCCATTCCAAACACTCACAATGTACAAAACACATGCACTGAAAAAATTAGCAAGTACACAGAACTTGCCCAGGAAATAAGGCATCTGTGGAGGATTGATAGAGTGCTTATTGTACCTGTCATTCTCTCCTGTACAGGTGTGATACCACACACACTACATAAAAGCCTGGGAACATTACAATTGAGTAGAAATACATACATCACACTACAGAAGGCCACTATATTGAATACATGCCACATTGTTAGGAAATTCCTGAATACAGACACAGACACACTTATTTAATTTTAGCTCTTGGTTGCTATGCCTTGACTCTGGTCCGGCATAGTACACAGCCACCGGTGTGTACTGAGTATAGCCCACTAAACCCAATAATAATCATATATATTGCACAGATAAAATATAAACAGCTGGTTGATTCATTAATGTACAACTAAATACTAAATTATTTAGAAATGCTAAGTTATGATAACACCAAGAAGTTCATTGAAAAAGTAATAAGACTATGAAAAATCCAGCAACTATCATGTTTCCCCAAAAATAAAACTGGGTCTTATATTAATTTTTGCTCTAAAAGACATATTAGGTCTTATTTTCAGAGGATGTCTTATCTAAAGGTGCTCACTTGGGTATTTACAAATACTTAAAATAAATGATAGTTATAATTTAATTAATTTAATTAAGTATTAATGTCAATAATAATATTTATTTATATTATTATTATTATTATTATTTTAAAATTCAATACATCCATTGTAGATTGCAACAGATGTATTAAACATGACCATCTGGCTGACAATCTTAACTGGGGTTTATTTTAGGGGTAGGACTTATATTAAAAGCATCCTAAAAAGTCATGCAAGGACTTATTTTCTGGTTTTGTCAAAAATTTCTGAAATTTTTGACAAAACCAGTTATTAAGAGTTATTAAGCTTCAAACAAAATGAATAAAAAAATCATGCTCCCACCCACATCCATACAGAAATTACTTCTGAATTTTATTTTTATTGCATTTCGCAATGTTTTAAGGTGTCCTCAGTCCAAAAATGTGAAAAATCTTGGAGTGTCATTTTTTGACCAATTGCCAGACTTTCCCTCTGTTATATATAAAAGCCCAGAAAGTAAGAGAAAAGGTTTTCTTAGAGCCCACAAAGAGTGGGGGAGTACAATTATAATTATAAAATCAATATTTAAAATGTCATACCTATTTTATAACATTTTCCATGAACCCTCAAATATTTTTCATCAAATATCCAGTCAAATATATTCGAGTTTAATGGATCCAAGTCAAAGTTGTGTACATATACATGATTATCAACACAGTCACATTTATTATTGATACACATCATTTTTGTAAAATGTCTAATGCAATCAAAATCATCACCACAAACACTTCCTTTATACACTATTAATTTAAAAATATGATAATATTAGTTACAAAAGTTTAATTAATTTACATAAATTTTTATTAATTTAATTAGAAAAAAATTAATTCATTCAATTTCATATCTTATTTCTTTTGTACAAAAACAAAACATTTTAATGTAGTAATTATTAATTAATGAAATTATTCCAAAATTTTGTTTCTTTAATTATAAGTAATCTAATATTTTGTTCTATTCTAATAAATCTACTTATTGTTGATCCTATTTATTAAAACAATAAAAAAATATATATATTATCTTAATATTGTTATTTTGTAACTTTTTTTTATAAATATAATTGTGCAAGTAGAAACTAAGACCTAAAACTTGACCTAAACTATTTATGAAGCATTTAAGTCTAAAATTGTCTTAAAATAAAGAAATCCATTGAAAACACACAATTAACATTTTCAAAGAGAGTCTCATTCAGGTAGTCCATTAAATTGAATACAGTAGAGCCTCGATTATCCGACCCCCTATTAACCAACACCCAATGTTGCCACGTCGATTTGCTTGCCATCGGTAGATTCCTTAAGCAATTTTCGGTAGATTTCGGTAGTTTTCGGTAAATCGACTTTTTGTGGCAAAAAGGAGGTTGCACATAAACAATAACATTCTTTTTTGTCATTTATTTTATTATACACTATAAAACAATAAAAAACAAAAAACTAACACAGAACACTTATGTAAAAAAAATAATAATTTACTAATTTTGTCTTATTTTTCTAACAAAATACAGTATTACCTTTTATTTTTCGGATATTAATAATAATTATTATTATTCAATATCTTCCGTTTGTATGTTTTTAACACTGTTTCTTATTTTTGAAATTAAATTATCTTTTACAGGAAAATCGTAACAGTAATTTTTATCCAATTAATTGTTTAGTAAGAAGTAAGCCAGTGATTGTTTCAGAGCTCAGTTTATTTCCGTGTTTCGTGTTTAACAGATTTATTTACGAAAATATT